ATAAAAGAAGAAAAAAAAATTTTGACAATAGGTGATCAATGGTTGATCCTTATATATATATTATTATAATGTTGCTTCAAATAAATATAAGTTTACTAGCAAGACGGTTTAAGTCACTTTACTTATCATGCTGAATAATATAGACTTCAACTTCTAGATATAAATAAAAAGTAGCAATACAATGTTTTAACTGCTATTTAGTATAATACGCTTAAGAATGTATCGAAAGAAATTTTGATCTTCCACTCTCCAGACGATAGCGAGATAGTTTTTGCACGTTTGTTCATTTCTAAAAAGTGATAAATGTATAATTTAAAGAGACATTAAGATGTTTATCATTAAAAAAATGATGAGATACTTATTTTAACCTCGTATAGGTCAGAGAATGCTTTTTCACATTACTATCCGTCTGTAGTGCCAAAAACAATGCTTTACATTTATGATTCTACCATCTACTTCTGCTTCCATCACAATTTTCCATAATTTTCGATAATGGAGTTCATTGATGTGATATATGAGTTCTAAAGAGAAACCAAACATATCTTAACAAACAATATCCAACCACAAATACTTTGAATCCATGATGAATAAAATTTCATTATGTTTATGATAAGATTAAACAGATATGAGAGATTGAAATGCGCCCACAATCACCATTTGTGAAATACATTATTGGAAAGAAACTGCTTATGTTTTAATAAAATTCAAATAATAAATTGTTATTATTAATTGTGATTGAAACGCATTTGATGTAACACTAACAATTATATTCATACAATACAATAATATAAAACTACACAAATGACTTATTTCACTAAATCTAAAGAAATAAACTAAAAAATGCAGTCTGAATAAGAGTTGTAAAAACTAACCACTCGTTGCAGAGAGGGAAGATAACAAGTAGACATCAAATATGGACGTAAAAACGATATATACATCAGAGATGGGATCGGTTGGTATTTTTGCCAAACCGAACCGACCGTAACCGAAAAAATCTCTAACCGAACCGAACGTAACCGACCGAATTTCAAAAATTTCGTAATCGAACCGAGTTTAGAGAAAGCGAAGTTTAGCTTATGTTAATTAGGGTATTAGTGCTTTATAAATTAGTAACAACAAATTGAACAGTAGCAACTATGAGCAATCAACATCTAGAGAAAGTAACGAAGAAAGATTATTTATTGAATTCTCTTACTGTGTTATAACTTTCTTACCTCTCACAACAAATTTAAAAAACATGTGAGATAATACGAGTTACGAACAACAGCTAATTGTTGTACGATTACACTCTTTTTTCTTCTTATGTCTAAAAAAAGTCCATCGAACTCAAATCAAAAGATTATGTCGATTCTTTCTAACCGAACCGAACGTAACCGACCGAATTTTTTAAAATTTCTAACCGAACCGATCGTAACCGAAAAAATCCCTAACCGAACCGAACGTAACCGACCGAATTTTTTAAAAATCTCGAATCGAACCGATTTCGGTTACGGTCGGTCGGTTCGGTTCGGTTAAAAATCGAACCGGTCCCATCTCTGATATATATTCAATCTTATACAACAGAACATAAAAAAGAGGCATAAATTTGGACGTATTGATTTACACGTATTGGTTTAAACGTACAGATTTAGACGTACAGATTTGGACATATAAATGTTAGGACGTATACATTTGGACGCATAGATTTAGATGTACAAAAATTTGGACGTATTGATTTAGACGTATCGATTTAGAGATATAGATTTAGACGTACAAAGATTTGAGCGTATTGATTTAGACGTATCGATTTAGACGTACAAAGATTTGGATGTATAAATGTTAGGACGTATATATTTAGATGCATTGATTTAGACGTACGAATTAATACGTACACATTTGGACGTATTGATTTCCACGTATTGATTTGGACATATAAATGTTAGGATGTATACATTTGGACGTATAGATTTAGACGTATCGACTTAGAGGTATAGATTTAGGCGTACAAAGATTTAGACGTACAGTTTTGGACGTATAAACGATAGGACGTATAGATTTAGACGTAAAAATATCTGGGCGTACAGATTCGGACGTACAAATTTAGACGTATTGATTTAGACATATGCATTTGAACCTATCGATTTAGACGTATTGATTTAGACGTACATAGATTAGGATGTACAGATTAGGACGTATAGATTAGCACGTTTTGATTTAGACGTACAGAGATTAAGACATATATATTAAGATGTACATATCAGGACGCATTGATTTTGACGTACACGAATGGGCAAGGTGATAGTTCAAGATATTTTAATTTTTGATTTAGCTATATTTAGTATTTCTCTCCGAAAAGGTCTCTTATTTTTTCTTGAACGTTTCCCGAAGAAATGATAAAGCGGATTATATGGTGTGTGTGGGTGGTAGTTCTGATTACTAAACAAACACCCACACCCACAGCCACCCCTGAAAATTGACCTGAATCTAAAATTATACAATTACAGACATACGCGTCCGCTCTATTCTGCTCAAGTACAGAAATCACAATAATGTCACTCTTTCTACACAGACCGAGAAGCATTCCTGAAAGTATATTACAAAAGCCTTGAAGTTTCAATCTAAGTATATTTTCTCTTCGACAAAGCATCATTTCTTGTTTTCAAACAACACTGAAAAAAACGTTCTTGATTATAATGTAAAAATAGCACCCAAGTTCTTTCTTCTTCATGTGGCTAGAGGATTGGCTACACACCGATAATAAGTTGATCCGTTCGAGTTAATTGCAATTGGATCTTTATAAACATAGGTATGTTCCTTGGCAGTAAAGTCATGTCTCGATGCATAGTTGGAGGAAAGAAATGCCGTCGCATCGCCTCTGATAGGCACATCAACATGTGACGAGTAGCGGAGAAGAATGTATCGTGTTCCAGCCGTCAATTCTTGCACAGTCACTCTGCCCATCATGTCACGAGCTTTTATACCATAGGCTGTACACGGCTCGTCCCATTCAGCCACAGTAAGACGTACAGGAAGGCAGACCTTGTCTTCGTCGAGAATTCCCGTAATAGCGATTCCCCAGCATACCTTTGAATGAATAAGTGAAAATAATCGTGGATCTGTGCCTAGCATGTTACACTCAGACTGAAGTTCTTCCTTCTAGTAAGAACAAAAATGATTTGTACGGATGTCAGACAGTCCGAAGCACACGATCGTTTCAAACTTTACATGTGATGATATACTCTGTTCGAGCATATAAAACTTGTATGCTCTTGAGAAATTACAGATTTTTTTAAAGCTTAGTCTCTGCAGATTTTCTAGAAGGTAACAAATCTTCTCCAAAGGGGTCGTGTGAATTAAATGAGTGCTTTCTCATTCTTGATACGCTTTAGACAATCTCTTGCTTCGATGAGAAAATAATTCAGCGGCTCCTTTAAAGCATCGAATGGGATATCTAATTTCTGGCTTCACAAAGCCTTTATATCAGAGGCGATAATTAAATATTTAGAATCAGTGTAAAATTAATCATCGAATGGACCATCTCGCTGCTCGATCAAACAACTTTTATCCTTTGCGTATTTGCTGTGTTCTCTGTAAGGGAGCCTCTGCCAACCAGGCCCATCTTACATTAGTAAATAGACAAATGTGAGAGCTATCACTCCTGCAAGTTAAAAAAATTTTCATAAATCCTTGCCAGAGAACCGAGACTTACAAATTCGAACGATTTTGTAAATCTTGCTATTGAGCATCTCGGAGGCATTTTCACCACTCATTCTGTTCATTTTCTAAAACTCTGTCTTTGACATTATCGTACTTAAAGTAGTCACGATCAATCGTTACAGTAGAAGAAAGAGAGAAATACACTCAATCTCCAACGTTAGAAAAGAAGCAAGTTCTTGGAGCAGATAAATTATGGATTTTGGAGTTTCAGGTTCAAATAAATCCCGCAAGCCTGACTCAAACAACTTAGATCGTATATTAAAAGATCGAGCGAACAAAACTCTGCAAGATGACCTTTTTCAATCGCAAAAGAATGTATGTAGAGAACGGTAGTCCTTGTAGGAACGGTTGTACTACGTTTGCGCGCGCGACTCCTGCGCACAAAATGGTTTTTTCTAGATCAAGATTTAGATTAAATCTTCAAACATTTTTGCGAAAATCTTATAATCTAATACATCTGACGCATTTTCTTTCATTCGAACAAATTCTTCAATAACATTTTGCGTTGGAATAAAAGCTAATGCTGCTAAATTTTTTTATTGTACGACGACTTATACTGTTTTCAAAAAACTCTTGTTTCACATGTAGTTCCTGTAAGAAAAAACTAGAATATTAAACATACCACAAGAAATAAATATGGAAATATCGGATATATATCTGAGAGTTATGTGTACTTCAAAAAGTGAATGAGACAAATCGGTCATCCTAGAGTGTTTGGATATAAAAATTTGCCTGGCAAACCTTTTCTATAAACTGTTGAATTCCACTGCCTACTGTTCAATCGCTAGGAGTCGGGAGCGTATACAGCTCAAATTTGAAGTCTTCAGCTTAACGTAGCCTCAGAAAGTCGTTTTTCTTATAACTTGATTTCTATTGGTCAACCCTCAACCAATGGGGCTTCGAGGCAAGGTTAGCGCAGTTTCTAGTTCTCCACCACAGAAAACCTTCGATTATCACCTCTATGATCCGAAGATAGAGTTCTGATTGAGGATCAATTAGAGGGTGCACAAAAACGGAACCGATTCTTACCTATTTATCTTTACATTGGGTGAGATAGTGTTCTTGTTTCCTAATATTTTATATATCATTTTGTAGCTCTTGAAATTCTCTATTAAATGATATATAATAGTTAGGGTTTTACTTGAATATATTCTATAAATTATTTTGCTCAAAAATCACTTTGCTTATAATACTTTTTGCTCAACCGTTTATTGTCATATCTTTTTGTCATTTCTGCTTTTGCAGAAAAGTACTTTTACTAAAAAAATTTTTGCTGAAATTTTATGTTGAATGCGCATTTACTATTTTATTTTTTGCTAGGCGTCACTCATTTCTCCACAACAGCAAAACTATCTGATACCTGGAAGGGAATGAAACTATTAATTCTTCCATATAGCGAGTAGGTTAGCAGTAAAAGTCAACAACGTTTGGAAAATTGTGTTATTTTAGAGCTCTTGATCCCAAGCCCTGAGCTCAACACGAAAATATGTTGAGTATGAAGGTTTTACCATGTTTTTGTAGAAGGAGTTGTTAGAGCTTATTGTCATTCGAGACTGTACAATGAGAACTGGCGAAGATATTTTCTTGGAAAACGAAGACACCCGATGGAAAATGCCGCATACTGAAAGTAAACCTTATACTTACATTGAGAGGAACACAGCCCCAGATGCAGCAAAAAGGCGGTGCTGCTGGATCACTACCCAGTTCGCTTAGTGGTTGCTTGATTATTTCCTGATCAAAGAGACTGTAATAGTAAATGGTATCCCGTTCATCATAGGCGTTCTCGTGCGAATAATCAATGCCTATTATCGGCATGATATGACCAGCAAAGAACTCATCAAATTTCGTGCGAAACATCATAGGAAAACCTTGGAGCAAACATCGTTTAATCCAAAAGCAATAGGAAGGAAATTGATGTTGAGGTGCGTTCTCATGATCCCATGCGTCGTAGGAAAACTTGAGTGTCGTGAGTGTGACTAGTGGATCGCCTCCGCCTCCTCCTCCTTGTGGTCGTCGTTGTTGATCGTCTTCGGGAGTCACATGGTGAATCAAGTATTCACCATGGTTAACATCTCGAACTAGTTGTTGTGATATCCAAGCACCATTATAAAGACCTGGTCGATCGAGAACATGTGAATAGAGTAAAAATATGTAGAGAACTTACCAAACATTTGCAGGACAGTCTCGCCGCAGTATCCATCTAGAAAAACATAAGCAAAAGGGAATGGTGAGGTCATATGAAACCAAGAACTCACGGCCATGAGACCACTGTCTGCGAGGTGGTATATCCAACCGAATAGATGATGTCATTGTGCTGAGTTACTTCTCAGTGTTTCAACTTATGTTTTTGAAAAAATGAGAAAATAATGCGAGCAAAATAAGTCGTACAACACTTATCAGCAGGAAAAAAGAGAAGAAGAAAAAGAAAAACATGCTTTATGGGAAAATTATGAGTCATGATTTGGTTGCGAAAGACGAAGGATTGACTAATGATGAATATTACAGCTACGTTTGATTCTATTCGTTTAACACCACTGCAGTAATCAGAGGGTGTTGGTATGAATGTATTTGTAGAACCTATCGGGCTCAAGATTTTTCAAGGGTGGGGGTGGGGCCGAAAGAAAGACCCACACTCATCCTCAATCATATATGTTAAACTTGAAACTTGAATCTAATTGAAATTTCAACTTTCAAGTTACAACTTCCAACATATGATGTCTTCTGAGAATATCCACGGAAACCCGATAAATTCCTAGGGTAAGAGGTACATAGATATGGAGATATAGGGGTATAGGAGGTATAGAAGGTATCGGAGGTATAAAGATATAGGAGGTATACTACCAACCACAATATGACCTCCAATAGTATTTTTCATGTAACTTTTGAAAGGAACAAGATGGAAAGGCACGGTTTTCACTTTTCGAAAGAGGAAATCATAACCCATCGAATCATACAGTATAAAGTTTTCGATTTAGTTCCTCTCAAGTTTTCAACCGAGAGTATTCTGGAATAATATTTTTGATAAGTTACTATAAGGAGTTTTCAGTTACTCGATACTTATTGAAAGCAACAGTTCAAAAACTAAAAATCTGCACAACATTGTAATTGTTGGCTTCAATTGTTTAGAAGCTATGAGTATTGTACACGAAATTAGAACCCGCTTTTTTCCAACAGTTCTTCTGAAAAAGAGCTCTTTCCTCTGGCTGGTGTACATGTGAATGTTGCTATGAATGAATCTCTCACGCCCATATCATGTAATTTGAATTTTTTTCTCTCAAGCTTCCAACAGAAAACGCCCTCAAGAGTAACGACTGTCTAAACCTTACGCACAGGTATCATTGCAGCAGGTGAAAATGATGCAAAAACCTGTTCCATCGGTACAGACCAATACAAATGCAAATGCGTACATAAACGCCGCAGGTGAGGGTGCGACAGAAGGAGTTTCACCATATACGACTTCCTTCAAATACACTCATACACAAACATCATACGTGATGGTGCGGCGAAAGGAGTTTCACCAAATAGGACTTCCTTGAAATACACTCACATACAAACGCTGCAGATGAGGATGCGGCGAAAGGAGTTTCACCAAGTACGACTTGCATTGACTGTACTCACACACAAACGCCGCACGTGGGGTTGCCGCAAAAGGAGTTTCACGAAATACAACTTCCGTTCAATACACTCAGACAGAAACATATATGTAAAACTTCAAACTTGAATTCCATCGAAATTTCAGCTTTCAAGTTTAAAACTTGGAAGTACAAGTTTCAATTTTCAAGTTTCAAGTTTCAAGTTTCAAGTTTCAACGAAGCAGATGAGGGCACCATGAAAGGAATTTCTGGGATCACAAAAGAAAAAACAATTCTACACGCACATCAGCGCACCAGGTGAGAGTGTCACGAAGGGAGTTCAAATGATCGTACAATGAAAACCAATTTCACGCGCACATCTCCGCAGCAGATGATAGTTAAGTCGAAAAGCGCTTCAAAACTGAAACTCCACGTTTCAAGTTTGACACTACTGCCCTCAATATAACAAAAATGCCCTTTTTCAAAAGTATTCTAAGATAAG